CACCCCCGGCACCCCCGGCACCCCCGGCACCCCCGGCACGCGTTTCCTCTGCCCCCACGGCCGAGCTTGGGCATCGCGGGCCGAGAGCCGGGCTCCCCAGCTGCTGCGGGGGCTGTTCTCAGCGTCAGGGTTCAACTGGGGAGCAAGTAATCGGGGTCCTGGCTTGGCTTGCGCCAGGAGCTTGGTGTCCCTCGTCGGGCAAGATGCACAGAGGCTGAGCTGAGGAGGTGCAGAGTCTCCGTTCCCGGCTGCTCCTCTGCTTTGTCTTGGACGCACACTGGATGTCTGCAGGACACCACGGAGGTGGGAAGCAGCGGGAGTCCTGAGTGTGGCTGGTTTGGATGCAGTCATGGGGGTGAATTCTGCCCCAGCCAGGGGCTTGAGGAAGGCATGGAGCCCACCTGGCTTGGCCCATCGCACCTCTGCTGCAGGTGGTGCGCTCCAAGTGCTCCAGTGGGTGATGGACACCACCTCTGGGCTCAGAGGTGGGCAGAGCCCACTGTGGGCTTGCCATAGGAGTGAGAATGCTTCAGGAACAATGCCGGGTTTGCTGTCTTCTCACCCATGGGCTCAGCCTGGCCACAGAAATAAGGGGCACAGTAGGCTGGGGGATCTCAGATACCCTTCCAGAGACTGAAGGAGGTGATAGGAGAGAGGCTGCTTCATGTGCCTGCTGGGCCAGGGTGGCTTGTGACAGAGGGCTTGCCCAGGGCTCTGTGAGGGGCTTGTGTGGGTGTAAGCTTAGAGGGTATGCTGGTGGGCTGCAATGCACAAGCCCTGCATGTTGGGATCTCTTTTGCTTTTGATCTTATGTCCCTGGGAGTGTCTCTTCTGGTCATCAAGCTGCAGTTTGACACCTTGTGTCTTTCTGTTTTTTCACCCAGCCATGCCTGTTTCCTGCATAGCAACATGCCATGAGGTGTGCAGAGCCATGGGGAGGGTCTGGGTGGCACATGGGGGTTCTCTGTTTCCTGTTGCAGCCCAGGTGGTGGGTGGGGCATTGCCTATCCCTGCACTCTGTTTCCATCGGGCTCTCCCACCTAAGCTCTCCCCTGCTACAACCCCCAGCTGTGAAAGGATGGGGCTGGGATGGAGGGATGTGTCCCAGAGCATCTGGTCTGCCTTCTTCCAACTCACATCTTTTGAGCGTTTCCCACTGGATCTGGGTGAGATGTGAGGTATTTTGTGGAGCCCAGTGTGACCTGGGCTGCAGCTCTTGGTAAGACCTTTCTGGCTGCCCTGCTTTGACCACTCTGTGGACAGCTGTGTGCCTCCCAAGACCTGGACTTTGCCTAGTGCATCCTTCCTCCATTGTAGGTGTTCCGTCACCTCGTGCGGCCCCTGATTCAGATGAACCTGGTGCTGCAGTGCCAGGTGCAAGAGCTGACTTCCCTGCTGCTCCAGAAGGATGCTGAGATTGAAGATTACAGGGAGAGTGGGGCCACTCTCAGCAGAGGTGAGGAGGGATGCCTGGGGCAGGGAGCGAGTTTCCTCCTTAGCACTGGGCTGGCGTGCTTTGCTCCCACTGGCTATTACCCAGCCAGGCTTGTGTTTCATGTTTAGCTGAGCCAGCAGCACAACAGTAGCCAGAAGGCTGGGAGCAGCCTCTGGGGAGAGCTGGGGGAGGAACAGCCCTTGACCGATAGCTGTAGAAGTTGGGGAGTAGCCAAGGGGCTCTCCACTACTCTGAGAGCACCTGGCTGGTCCCCAGGAGCCAGCAGGGATGCCAGCAAGGGCTGGCCCTGCAGTGGTGTCAGGCGCCCTTCCCAAGCGCAGTAGCTCACTGAGTGCTTGGAGAGCAACCAGGGGCTCCCGGCTCTCCCAGACGTGGGAAGTGCAGCCGTGCTCATGGGCCCCCCTCCAGCACCCCATCGGGGTGATGGGCAGACAGTAGCCCCCTTGGGTAAGACGTGGGTCAGGACCTGCTGGGGGAGCCACCCTGGGGGGTGGTTTGTTCCCTACCTATGGAGGTTGGCTGGGGTCATCCCTTGCTACTGCCATGCTTTGTCCTGCTGCTGCAGGTGATAGCTGCACTTCCGCAGGAACCTTGCACCCTGAGCATGCAGGGACTAGTGGGGGTCAGCCCGGGCTTGTTTATCACATCCAGGAAGATACTGTGGCCCAGACCCTGTCCCATGCCCCACCACAGGAGCCTGGATCTGCCCTGTAGGTGGACTAGAGTTACACTGGCCAGCTGTACTTCCCTCTGTCCTGCTGCATGCATTCTCTGCAGGGCTTGGAGCAGCCTGGACATCCTGTCTTGGGTCTAGGGACTGATGCTGGTGAGCAGCTGGCCTCTCTTGTCCCTTACTTGGTGCAGGGCAGAAAGCTGGGAGGAGGCATTGCGCCCTAGTGGCTGAGCAAATCCAGCCAGCTGCTTCTCCAGACTGCATCTTAGCAACAATGTGGAAAAACTAGTGTTTTGGAGAAGGTGCAGAGCAGAATATAACAGGTGTTTGTCCCTGTCCTGTAAGAGGAGGACACAGGCTGGCTCACCACTTCAGATGAGCAGCTGGACAAGCAGTGCCCTGTCCCACAGACTCAGCTTGTTCCAGCTGTAAGATTTGGGAATGGTGTTGAGCATGTCCTGCCACCATTCCCTACTCCTCAATGGGACAAGTGTGGATGGACTATTGGCTCTCCCTGGCTGCTGTGTGCATCAACAGGCTCAACCATGTTTTTTCCACTTCCTTGTGGTACTTGCACCTTCTGCTAACCAGGTGATGTGTCCCTAATCTAAGAGGCTGTTTCCTGCTGATTCCTGGGGAGAGTGTGCTGGAGCTTTTCCCCTGCAGTATCCTCACCCCATGGTCAGGGAGAGGGGAAGCTGGGGTGGGAAGTCAGCCAAACCTGCCCAGGCTGATCCCTCTCTACCTTGCAGACCGCCTGCGGACAAAACCCTTCCAGGAGGAGACGTTTCAGCAGAACTTCATGGCTGAGGTAAGGAGTGGTGCAAGTCCTCTCTCCTTTGCCAAAGGGGTGGTTGGGAGATGCGATCAGCAGCTGCAATGTGAGGTGTGCCTGGCTGGATGGGAGCACTGGTGGGGATAGCTAGACTTGCCTAAAGAGGGGTCATGCCCTCTAGCTATCCCATGGCCCTCTCTGTGTCCTTGCACCTCATCTCTAGGGCTAGCAGAGCTGGGAACATGCCTGACATGCCCAGATGGGAACTACCTGCTTGCTGGGAGCTGCCAGAGGTGCAAGCCAGACTGGCTGCTCCACAGGAGTGTGCCATCACTGGGGCATATTCACCCACCTTCCACACTTGCTCTGGACCTAAACATTGCTGCTGATGGCAGGCAGGGATCAGGTGAATGAGGAGAAGCTATCTTCTTTCAGTTCACCTGTTGCTTTTAGAGGTGGCTTTGCAATGACAGATTGTGGGGACGAGATTTTCAGCATGTTATTCGTGCTCTGCATATCACTGTCCCCTTGGCACACTAAGCTCTGAAATCAGATGTGTGCTTTGGAGAAACTGGGACTGGAAGGAGAGAGTCTTTGATCCTTTTGCATTACTGGAAATCATCACAGAAGCACTAAAATGATGCAAACTGATGTGTCAAAATCAGAAATGCTTGATGCCCATTGATGCAGAAGGACTTGGGACGCTTCTGAGTGTTCCTGTGCTTGCTGTGAAGGCACAGGAGTGGGGCACAGTGCTACCTACTGGGGACCAGGGTGTCAGCCAGGGTGCCAGCGCTATCACACGGGCTTTGGGAGGATGTTGCTTTATGAGATGAGCTGATGTTCTTATGTAGCCAACAATAGATGATCTGCAAGAGTTCCTAAAAATTAGAGATAATCCCTCTTTTGTATGCGAGGCATTGCATCCAGTGCAGGCAACTTTCGTTTCTCCTGGATTATGAAGGATAGACATGAATTTGCTGCTGGACTGCGACTTGAAGGTTGCCTAGGGACCAGTGATCATGACCAGATTATATTCACCCTGGGCACAGAAAGGACATTCCTAAGCAGTAATTTATATCCTTCATGCCTTGAAAGAGCTAATTTCCCATAGCAGGGGGAAAATAATGAGTGAAATCAGCTCAGAGGAAACATTTAGATAGAAAAATGTGAATGAAAATGGTGAGCTCTTTCAGAAGAATTTCAGAAGCCACAAAAAGCCACAATTCCACAATCAAGAAAGAGGGCAGCGCTGGCCCAGAGCCCGTTCTGGTTCAGCGGCAAAGTGAAGGCAGCAATTAGAAATAAAAGAGCAGTTTATAACAAATGGGAGAGCGGGAGTAGATAGCAATCAATATAAATTAGAAATTATGAAGTGCAGAAAATGGGTAACAGAAGCTAAAGACATCAGGGAAAAATCATGGCGATGAACAGAAGGAAAGGCTTTTATTCAGTGTAGTAGGAGAAAAACCCAAGCTCCCAGCAACAGGATAAGCTTATCAGTAGACAGAGGTGGTAAGATGATTTATACTGGACCAGACATGGCAGAAGCAGTCAATAAATGTTTCAGTGCTGTCACTGGAAGGGTGCAGGCAGATGTGCAGGATAGGGGGATGGTAAAGTGTCTCTGTAGAAGAGTCATCTGAACAACATCTGCTAAAGATGAACATCGGGCTTGAAATTCAGAGTCCTCCAAAAGGTGGTAGGGAGTGGGACATGGGGTAAGGTGCAAAGTGGGCAGGAGGGGAGTGAGGCAGCCCTGCACAGAGCCTGGCAAAAGCAGCTGGTGTGGAGCACATCTGGCAGGGGCTGAAAAGATGGGATGTGATTGGTGCTCTGTGTCCCAAGAACAGTCCAGGATAGGGAATGGAAGGCTCTGGGACATGCTGCCCCTCTGTATCCTTTGGTAGCCAGGTCTGAGCACTGACTGCAGGGGAGAGGCTGGTGGAAGGATGCAGTTGTGCATTTGGTCTGCAGGGAGGATGTGTGTCCTCCCTGCATTCATCCCATTCTTTATAAACCCGCTGATGATGCCATCCTGCAGCAATGAGCTGCGAGATGCGAACAGCTGCTGCCTTTGCTTTGAATGTGGTACCCCGTTGTTCCTCCTGATGCCCCCTACATCTTGTGTTAGTCAGAAACACCAAACATGGCTTTTCAGCTCTTCACCACCAAAACTGGCCTTTCACTCCTGTCTCTCATCTTGTGTCAGAAAGGTGGTCTGGATGACCTCATTGTCTCTGTGCAGTTATTTCAGAGCCTCCAGGCAATTTAATACTCTCTTTGTCAGCTCCTGAAAGGAGCAGCACAAGGGGCTGGGGTCCCTCAGGACATGCTGCGGGGAGATGGGAATGCTGCAAGCAACTCCCATGTCTAGGTTTTCAAAAAGATGCTGGACAATCAGCACAGAGTCCCAGGAATGAATTGAGGGCTGGGGGGAGAGCCCGTCATTGAGGGACTTGGAAGGGAAGAGTTCTGTCTAGCTTATCAGGGAGAAAATTGAGAGGCGCCTTGATTACAGTGTGTGTGGGTCTTTACAAGGAGAAAATGCTGGTTAGTGAAGGACTCTCTTTAATCTTGCAGAGAGCAGTGGAGCACAAGCCAGGCACTGGGAGATAGAGCCAGGGAATTTCAAGTTAGAATGGAGGTGCTTGGGTTTGCTCCTGCCAGTGACTGGGGCATGTTCCCAAGGGCAGTGGTTAATCCTCCATCTCTTAATGTCTCTGAAAGTGGGCTAGGAGCATGCCTGGAAGAAAACCAAGCTGCTGGGTTTGGTCTTGAGATGCACATGGTTGAACATCAGTGGACAGGAGGTCAAGAAGAAAGACCTATTGGTCCTTCCAGTATCTCCACCTGTGAAATGGGGCTACAGGTTCTGGATGTTTGGTTGTGGTAAGCACCTCTTGGCTGGAAGGGATTGTGATGATGTGGTACAGGGCTGGATGTGGTCAAGTGCTCCACAGCTTTGCTCACTTCCCAGATATTTGCTGTATCCCGTGTGGAGAGGAAAGGAGCTGTCAGTCCCCCAGGGCAGAGCTGCAGAGCCTCTCAGCTTAGACATTCCCTTTATCTGGGCTTGTGTGCACTTGGCTGTCCAGGGCATTTTAACTAACCATGGGGAGTTTTCCAGCAAAGCCCCGGTAATATTTATACGTTTAGGAAATGATGCTTTCACACACACGGTTTTTGGCAAGGGTTCACTGCTGAGCAGCTGCCTGGGCTTGAGCAGAGCTGGAAGGAGAGCAGTGGCTGTGCACAAGCCGAGGCAAAGCTGGTGGCTTTTATTGGCAAGCCCAGGGGTTCACGCCATGAGGGGAAGGAGCAGGTGGCTGGAGAGAGCTCGGTGCCTTCGAGGCTTCCCCAGCACCGCTCCCAGCAGTCTAGGACGCAGCAGGTTTGGGGATATTTTGTCCCCGGGTGTCCCTCTGGGTTACAGAAATAATGCCACAGGGCAGGGTGGGGTGCCCACCCATGGGTTTTGAGACCCTGCCCTAGCTTGGCTATGCTCAGAGCTTCATGACACAGCTTATGCCAGAGTCTGCGTCCCGACTTAGAGGGAGAAGGGTGAGCAGGTTCCTGCCATGCCTCCTGCTCTGAGGAGGGCAGGGACAGGTACATCGAGGACACGCTCACGGATACCATCAGTGCAAATATAGCCCCCGCTCCCCAGGATGCTCTGCCCTGTGTATTTTTATCTGCTGTGGCTGGCCCGCGGGGGCGGCTGCTCGCACCTCCGCAAGCGGAGCGCGGCACCTCGGCAAACAGGACGCGGCGGGTTCACGGCTCGACCCCGGGGCCCGGCGAGGAGGAGGAGGATGTACCATCAAAACAAGCAACGCTGGAGAGGAAGATAAACAAACAGGCAGCTTCCAGTGCGGCCCCAGCCGAGGGCGAGTGGGAGCCCCGGGGCCAGGGCTGCCGGTGGTGCCGGCAGCGGTGCTGGCTGACGTCAGGGCGCCCGGGGGTCAGCATCCCTCTTATTGTTTCCCACCGGGGCTGGGACCAGGGCCAGGCACCCGGGCCCCTCCCGCTGGGGACACAGGCCAGCGGGGCAGGTGGAGGATGGCCAGGACACGCTCTGGAGCCACAGGCTGCTGCCACCACGGGGTCCAGCTGGGTACCTGGCTGCTCACTGCCTGCCTCCAGCACCCTGCCTCTCCTTTTTAACAGGAACTAAAAATAAGCCCCGGGTAGCGGAGTGGCCACGGTCTGGCCAAGGATGAAGGCGGTGGTGGCCTGCGTATTTTGCAGGGTGGGGACGGCATCCCTGAAACCCACGCCAGCTTAGTGCAGTGGAGAGGAAGCAGCCCTTTGGCTCCTTCAAACGAGGGATATTTTTAATTAGCGCAAGGTAGCTGCGGCTTTGCAGCTGCGACTGGGCCAGAACGGGGCTGGTGGCGTGCGTGGGACGTGGACTGCTCTCACGCAGGGTGCATGGCTCAGGGAGAACATTCTGTGGGTGCTCAGCTCAGCTGGAGCCCCTTGGTGTGGGGCTGGGGAAGGAGCTGGTGGCCACAGTGCTGTTGCTGACAGGACTGAGCGGTGCAAAATCTGCACAGCCCTGAGCAGGTTGGCTCAGGACAGAGGTGGCAGCATGGGGCTGGCTTGTCGGGCAGCTTGGATGAGCAGAGCAAGTTCTTGTGTGCTGCCAAGCATTTGTGCTGTGAGCCTCATGGGTGATGGTGTCTTGTTGTGGACTGGGCCACCTGGGCAGTCCTCGCTTCACTCCTGAGCAAGCTTTGGTAACATCATCCCATCACTGCCCTGGGGTCTGATTCCCACACTGGAAATGTGGTGGGCCATGGCTGTGCTGAGCAGAGTGGGACACACACTGCCCTGCACACGTGTGTGCTCCAGGAGCTGCACACTGCTGCAAGCAGGCATGGAGCGAGGGCTGCTTGTACTCGGTGCGAGCACGGGTACCAGAGCAGGAGCGTGAGAACAAGGCTAGGAATGTGCATGCTGGCACTGATGGGAACAAGGGGCAGAGTGCCACATCTGCTGGCTGAGGAGGACAGGCGACAGGGGCCAGCACT